TGCTATAGTTTTTGTCGCTGGGAGAGGTCCACGTTCACACAATGCGTCAGCCCTGGCACACAACAGGTGGTCCATCACTGCGGGTGGCGAAGGTGCACCTGTCAGTGTCCCTGTGGAAGAGAAAGGACAGCCTCTGCCCCTTGGTGACCCTCGGACTTGGGGAAGCAAACACTAGTGCAGGAATGGCATGCCTGAGGTGGAGGGGCAGATGGATGGGGGTCCACCAGAAACCCGGCACTGTCTCTACTTTTGATTTTTCTTGACACCCCATAAGTTGAAGTCCTCAGTTACTTTCCTGAAAGTCCCCCCATGGGCTTCTCCTGCAGGAATGCTGTCAGCCACCAGCAGCCAGTGCCAGAAACGCCATGGGAGCCAAAATAACGTTTCCATTCGCTCACGTCTGAGCGTACGCATCTCTCCCCTGAGGCTTCACACCTTCTCAGTGTGCTGTGCCCCGAGCACTGAAACACTCGGCAGCTGCAGCTGCCTCATGATGAGCAGTGATGGATCAATTGTGGCTTAGTCCTGAGCACCCAGACTGCCGAGGGGGAAGGCAGCGCCCCCATCCTAACCAGAGCCCCCATCTCAGCCAGACCACACACTGAAAACAGACACCCAGCAGCCAAGAAAATACAAAAACTCTTTTCTCTTAGCATCTTCTAAATCAGTGATCGGCACTCATTAGTCAACAGAGCAGCAAACAGTAGCTCATGAGCCGCATGTGACTCGAAAGCCGGGGTTAGCTGGCCACTGCTCTAAGTGACCAAGTCACGGGTGAGAGTCCCAGCCAGGGTGCCTTCAGCATGTCACCAAGCAGGGTGCCCCTGCTGTGGGAGCAGAGATCCCTGGCCACAGAGGAACAGACTAGAGTGGCATAAGCACAAGAAAGCGTGTGTGTGTGTGTGTGTGTGTGTGTGTGTGTGTGTGTGTGTTCCCATGTGCCTGAGCACAAGATGAAGAGCTATCAGTTTATGCTGTTATTTTCTGGATATGAATTTTAAAATTTATCTTTTAAATGTGTGCCCTGCAACAGTTTTTTTTTTTATATATTTTATTGATTTTTCACAGAGAGGAAGAGAGAGGGATAGAGAGCTAGAAACTGCCTCTTGCACACCCCCCACTGGGGATGTGCCCGCAACCAAGGAACATGCCCTTGGCCAGAATCGAACCTGGGACCTTTCAATCCGCAAGCCGACGCTCTATCCACTGAGCCAAACCGGTCTTGGCTTCAGTTTTTACATTCTTTCAAGATAAGACTAATTCCATTTCAGATTATTAATTGTTTAAACTCCTGTAACTAAGAAGACCTAAATGTCTTTACTTATATGTTAAAGTAAATATGTTTAATATTGCTTTTGAAAAAAGTACTATGAAAAATGTATGTTATTAAGTCTTACTGTGACAGTTGGTGTGGGACAAAGTTGAGAATTCTACTGTAAAAAATGGAGCATGTAAATTCTATTAGTTTTTAGTTTATATAAACTGCTATATCTGCTTTGAGTCCTCACAACCGTTCGAGCTTTAAATGTGGAAATAAAATTATACAGTGGAGTTGCTTGTAAAAGTGGTATCAAAGGAATCAGGGGACTGGGTATGAAGAGAGAGAATGCTCTAATTTGTAGGCTCAGTGCATTCAGAGTTTTTGTCCAGAAACCAGCTGGGCCAAGTGATTTATAGATCGAGACAAAACATGGTCAGGCAAGTTAAAGGAGGTTTGAGCTATGAATCTTGTGGATAAGTAGCATCTGAGGTCAAACATATGCATCAACCAAATATTGTGCCATGTGATGTGGAATGTGAGCTGCATGAGGGCAAGGTCAGCATCTTTTAATGTTCAATCACTGTCTCCTTCGTTGCAACTAGAATCAAGTTTGGTACTAACCAGGTATTTATTGATTGACTATACAAATAAATGGATTTATGAAAAAATGGGTGGGTGCATGAATGGGTGGAGGATGGATGGATGGGTGGATGGATGGATGATAAATGGATGGATAAAAGGATGGATGGGTAGGTAACTGGATGGATGGATGGATAGGTGAATGGTGAATGAGTGTGTGAAGACACCAAAGTAGCTGTGATGATGGTAGCTCAATAGACAGAATGTCACACACACACTGTATGATCACCCACCATCCTCAGTGTTAGTGCATTTGTCCAGAGACTGCCCCCCACCCCAAACACTCACACACTGCATTGTGTTCAGTTCCTTCCAAAGCAATGCTGAGGAACTGAGTCACATTCCCACAAAATGAGCCCAATAGGGAAGATTCAAGAAACCTGAGCCGTTTCAACTAGACAATGACATAACTGTCTTAAAATGTTTGGCTAGCAATAATGTGGAAGAGAAAGAATCAAGTTCTGTGTGTCCCCAGAATGTCAAACAAGGAGTCAGATTGCAGTTGGTCCAGGGTCAGAAAGGACTTCAAGACAGCTGAGGTCTGGAAATGGAGGGGCTGCCTGTGTGTGTGTGTGGGGGGGGGGGGGGGAGCCGAACGCCATGGGGGCATCTGAGCAGTGGCTCAGGGAGATGTTCTGGAGCGGCAGTTCTCAAAATCTGTGACCTCTGAGCTCTTCAAGAACGTTTCGGGATCTAAAAGTCAAACTCTTTCCATATGACTCATTTGCAATGGTTCCTGACATTCGCACCAAAACACAGTGGTGGGAGGAGCAGCAGAGAGCAAGGTAGAGACCCCCATTTGTTGTCACCCTGGTCTTCCTTCTTTAACAACCCCTGAGGGTGCAGTAAGAGATAACTAAGTTATTAAGACTTGACTCTTGAATACACAGCTTTTTAATATTCTGTGAGACAGAGTCAGGAGTGCCCAGAAATGCCTTCTGCTGCACACCACCATGTGAAGCTGAACACCTGCTTTTTTATGGACGTCACTTTTATTTAAAAAACACCTGATGAATTCTGGTGATTCAGAATTGGGTTTGGGGCAGAAATTATCTCAAAAATGAACTAAATGAGCCTAAAAGAAAACAACCAAGGGTATTTGTTGCCAATAGTAAAATTTGAGCTCTCTAGAGAAAATTGAAAAATTCAGAACCTTATGGTATCTCCAAGAGTTTGAGAGCTTCCCATTACTTAGCCTGTTTGTTAGAAAGTTGTTAAAGAATGTGATTTTGATGTGAGGAAACATATTGACATCAGGAAGATCTGCATAATGTAGTGCACCCAATGACCGATACCTGGTGTTAGAAAATTGTGCGTGAGCAAAAGACATATCCAGCACTGAAGATGGGCGGATGGAGTTTCACACGATGGAGAAAGCAAGTTCACTGGTATGGTTTCAGATTCCATGTCACAGCCAGCCTTCAGGAAGCTACCACATGTTGAGTCATGTTGAATCAAAGTGGAGTATTCTGTTGTCTAAAAGGCTATTAAAATCGTCCTCTCTTGCTCTGGCCAGTGGTGTTCAGTGGTTAGAGTGTTGGCCCAAGCCCTGAAAGGTCTTGGGTTCAATTCCCAGTCCAGGAAATGTACCTGGGTTGCAGGTTCATTTCCCGGACCCAGTGGGGGTGCGTACAGTAGGCAACCAATCAGTGTGTCTCTCTCACATCAATATTTTCTCTCCCTCCCTTCCACTCTATCTAAAAATCAATGGAGGAAAGAACATCCTCAGGTGAGGATTAGCACAAAAAAAATTGCTCTCTCTTCTCCAATTTTTCATATACATGAGACCAGGTTCTCTTACTAAGCTTCAACCAAAACAACATATGGCAACAGTCAACATAGGAGCAGGTGGGAGCATCCAGCTGTCTTCCAGTAAGCCAAACCTTAAAGTGACTTCCAAGATGCAAATCAGTAACATTCTTCTCACTAAACTTTTTTATTGGGGAAATATGTTATTCATTAAAAAGGACATTTATGTGAACATTTAACAGGTTTATTATTGTAATTTTTAAATTAATTAAAAATACATATTTTAGAAATGTCTCCATTTTACATAAAATTTTGTAAATATCAATAGCAATAACATTTTCAGAAAGCTCTTTGGGATACTGAAAAACTGAGTGTAAAAGGCCCCTGATACTATCTCTCAGTGGTTAGAGCACTGGCCTATGCACAGAAGGGGTGCAGGTTCGATTCCCAGTCAAGAGCATGTACCCGGGTCGCGGGTTTGCTCCCTCCTCTAATCTGAGCATATGCAGGAGGTAACTGATCGATGAGTCTCACATTGATTTTTCTCTCTCTTTACCCCTCTCCTTTCTCCCACTCTCTCTGAAAAGCAATGGAAAGAATATACTCTCGTGAGGATTAAGAGTGTAAAGGGTTCCTAGGACCAAAAGTCTGAGAACCATTGAAGTAGAGTCATTTAAAACATGGTTGTCTCCTTGGACCCTTGGATTCTATGTTGATGGAACTAACTCGCTTCTATATGCTGAGTAAACATAACATTTGTGTCAGAGTCGGTTCCTTTAGCAACGTTAACTGCACATTCCTCCTGAAATGCCTCCACATTAAATTACAAAGCCTGCTTTTCAAAATGTAGGAAATTATATGGTTACAGCAAAAGTAAATTACTACTTGGCACCCATAAAATATAGACCCTTGGACTTACTAAAGCCTGAAGCATGCGTGTGTATTTCATGCATTATTACTACATTTGTAACTGTAACACCTCCGTCCTTCTGTTTAGTTTCAAACTCCTGTGTTTATCCTAAACTTTAAACAGGAAGAAATGATTTGTGCTTCTGTCTTGATTCTTAACTCAAGCACAGAGTATCTCAATAATTTAAATGGGGGAGAAAAAAAAGAAAGAAAAAGAAAACGAAGCATCCAGTCTGCCTGAGAAAGAGAAACAGCTCCTGCAGGAAGGAAGCCTGCTCCTATGTGTGGGTCCCAGACCCTCCTGCTCCTGCAAAACCTCAGGGTGGCCCCATCCAAATAGCTAGCACTTATTTAAATGAGCATCAGCAGAGCCAGCTACGAGGGGCTATAACAGAGAGGAATGCGGCCCTTTCTATTAAATTTGCCTTTTCTTCCTCCTCAGGAACTTAACTGGCACCTTCCCCGAATACCCGAAAGTAGAAGAAGGAGGTTCCGCTATCATTTTTTCAAACAAGACCCCACAACAGGTACAAATATGCTTGAGAAATAAAATGTAAATGTACCGTGATTGTATTTCCTTAAAGTTTGGAGTTGATAGGTTTGTCATTATTAGGTCTTGGTTATTTTATTTTTACTATGTTTTTCTTTTTAAGGGAATGGGGAGAGAAAGAGAAACATCAGTGATGAGAGAGAATCATAAGTCAACTGCCTCCTGTATGCCCCCTACTGGGGATTGAGCCCGAAACCTCGGAATGGAATGTGCCACAACTGGGAATCAAACCATGACCTCCTGCCTCCTGGTTCACAGGCAGATGCTCATCCACTGGGCCACATCAGCTGGGCAGATCTTGGTTATTTTTTCAACTTCGTTGCTCATCAATTATCACAATAAGACTTAATGACAAACATTTTTCATAGTACTTTTATATATTTAATAGATAAGTGAAGATATTTAGTTCATACCCAGTTTCCTGATTCTTTTAATGCCCCCTTCGCAAGCAACTTCACTGCAAAGATGAAACATGTAAATTACTAGGTCTTGCTATGAGTTCATCAATGCACGTATTTTCAAATTTACTTCAGAACTAACTTACCTTTCTCCCCTCTCTCTGGCCTTTGAATGAGATGCAATAACATGTGGAGCTCATATTAGTAAACTCTGAGCGGCTTGATTTCTAGAGCCCTTTATGGCCATTTCCCTGCTCACCTCAGTCTCGTCTCCTGCTCCATCATCACCACAGTCACTACCACACCCACTCACCTTCCTCCTCACCCTCAGGCTGCTGACCCGAGATGCCCTTGTATATGTCAGGTCTGTCACACCCTCCACGGTGCCTGTCCACCCACCTTCCTCTGCTCAGGTCCTTCTCACCCATCAAGACTCTACTGTTTGCTACATAGACGATCTTCCAGAGAAATGCTGTTTGGTCGTCTCCCTGGTATCTGATTAAATTGACATGGAAAGCTAATTTTAGAAATGTCTTAATAAACTAGAGATAGGGAAAATGTTCTTACTCTTAGAGCACCATAGAAACCAAGAAAAGACTTGCATGATTCTCATCAGTGAAGCTTTAGAGGCATTGCCCTCAAAAGTGTAACTCAGGGGAAAAATGGTTGCTATAAGAAGTATTAGTTAATATTTTCCTGTAAGTTCTTACTACCTAATGCTATAATAAGATAAGGAGTTATAACTATTTTGAAGTGATACTTTTATCATTGTTTTTAGATTATCTGATCATCTTCCTAGAAAACACAATAAACTTAAAAATGGTATTGACATATTATACAAAATGATATTTATAAAAATTACACTACAGAAATTTAAAGAAGACTTGAACCTATAGACTGGTGGGTTATTTCCCTGGAAAGACTCAATAAAGAATAAGTACATGTTATTCTTCCATTGTTCTATACAATCAATGCAATTCCAATCAAATCAAAACAATTTTATTGACAAAATTATTCTCCAGTTAACATGAAAAAATAAATACGTGAAAATATGTGAAAAGTTTTTGAAAAGGGGCTATAACCACAGGGAACGTGCCCCACTTGATATAAATCAAATTATAAAGTAATTAAAATATCACAGTAATGGGAAAAGAATAGACTGATAACATGTGACAATAAATATCTCTCATATATAAAGAGTTCTTATAAAGTAATAAGAAAAATCTGAGCACCTCAGTAGAAAAGATGACAAAGAATACACACAGAAATTTAATAGAAGAAAATTTACAAGTCACTAACAAAGAAATTTAAATATGAAAATGTTACTATATCTTTTTTCACATATAGGATTGATAAAAATTTGAAATCATGATAATAACTGGAGTTTCTAAGCATGGGGGGGAACATTCCCATGTATTGCTGCTGGATATATAAATGAGCATAACATTTTTAAAGGGAAATGGACTAAGTAAATATTAAAAATTTTAATCTGTATATCATTTGACCCATAAATATTATTGAAGGAATTTATACTAAGGAAATAATAAGACAAGCTTCCATGGATCAACAAATGTTTTCCATAAAGGGACAAAGGTAGTAAATATTTGAGTCTGTGGAATCTACATTCTCTACCGCAACTATTCAACTTTGCCATTATAGTATGAAAACAAAAATGGACAATATGTGAATGGATGAACTTGGCTGTGCTCCAATAAAACTTTATTTATAAACATGTGCATCAGGCCAGATTTGTCACAGGCACTGTAATTCACTGATCCCTGCCACAGACATTGAAAACACTGTTCATGTTTGTCTTGTTTATAGCATTGACAAAGCAGGAAACAGGCTACTGGTCTACAGTAGGGACTGCGCAGCTGTGGAGGGCTCCAGTCATCTTGGCTGTCCCCTCTGCACCCCTGCGGGAGCTCTCAGAGTCAAGCACACAGGTCTCCCCCACTTCCCTATCAAAGCCAACTCAGCTTCCAGCACCTTCCCTCCACCTCCAGAGGACTCCCATCTTTCTCCTCTGAATTCCGAGGACACTTAATACCCACACTCTTGTTTGGCAGGTCACCAAGCCCTACCTGAGTGACTGTGGTTTGGACTGATGTTATTTCACTCGTTATGTTTAGGTCTTGTCTCTCCAGCTAAATCATCAGGCACAAGTCCTGTCTTGAAAGTCCCTGGCAAGCAGCCAAACACGTTGCATGTTAGTTTAGAAAGGTAATAATTATAGGATTAAGAATGTCGGTGGAATGTCTAAATTGTACAGGAGGAACATCTAAAAGTAGAGTTAACATCTAGTCAAACTAAAAACAAGAGAGAACTGAAAATGCCTGGTTAATAATTAAAATTACACAAAGGGGCCACAGAGCTGATGATTGAGGAGTCGAACTGGCGTGGTGAAGTCACAGTCCCCCATATGCTAGGTCTGCAGCCTGAGGCCAGCTATTCCCCCTGAATCTCTGTTTTCTCATCTGCACAGGGACACCCAAGCAGTGCCTACCACCTGGGTCTGATGCATTGATTAGAGGGGACGATACTTGTACTGAAAACAGAACTGGGCATACAGAAAGCTTTTGGGAAGCTTTAGCCGATGTTACAAATGTTAGTTGTAATAGGATGAAGAGGTAGACCCAGCCTAATCATTCTAATGATGCATGTAGTCACGTTTATATTTGTAAAAAATAAAAGCAGTACAAATACTTTTTAATGAAAAGAGCATAATCACATTGATACCAAGCCCCCAAAAGATTGAGTACAAATCGAACCACAGATCAGTCTTCCTTATGATAATCAGTACAAATATTTCAACTGAAATATTCGCAAACTAAAACCCAACAGCACCTTAAATAAGCAACACACCGCAATCGAGCAAGCACGTTTATTTCAGGATGCAAGAACAGTTCAGTCTCAGGATGTATATGAATACACTGTGTCACATAAAGAGAGCCAAACATGGAAACCATAAGCTCATCACAGTGGATGCTGAAAGGTCATTTGGCAAATTCAACATCCATTCTTGATATCCTATAATAAAGATGTAGTATGCAAATGCTCATTACGCCATGAAGTGTAACAATCAACCACATCACAGATCAGCAGGAAGGTGGGACAGCGAACTACAAGCAGGCTGTGGAGAGCTACAGGAGGGAGCAGGGCAGCAAGCTATTGGGGAGGGACGAGGGAAGCGGGGGGGGGAGGTGTGGGGGGAGTTACAGGACAACGACAACGAGGCAGCAGGTGGAGAGCTACTGGAGGGCAGCAGCAAGATATTACTGAACTATTGGCACACGGATTCATGCTCAGGGCTACTAGTTAAAAAATAAAAACAATGGGAATATACATCTACTTCTTTAACGTAACAAAATATTTCCATCTTAGTTCAAAAGCCAATATCATGCTTAGTGAAATTCACTAGAAACATTTTCACTAATGTCAGAAAAAATACAAAAGTCATCATTTGTATTCATTCTCATTCTCCCATCTGATCTATTGATTACTGTCAGATAAAAAAAAAAAAAGAACATAGAGATGTGGAGATTAGGATGGAAGAGACAAAATGATCACCCTTTGAACATATGTTATATCCTTACAAAAGCACAGAGAATAAACTGTAAAACTAACTTATGTGAGATATCAGATGAGGGAATTATAAAATTAATGTACAGAAAGCAGTAGCTTTTGTGGGTACAAACAGCAGCTAGTTGGGAAATATAATAAAAGGGCCTATTTACAACAGCAACAACACAAACATAAAATACCCAAGAGTAAACTTAAATATGTGTTTATGTGAAGAAGAGTTTAAAATATTTTGAGGGATGCAAACAAAAAGATGGGAAAGCCCTAGCTGGTTTGGCTCAGTGGATAGAACATAGGCCTGCAGACTGAAGGGTCCCAGGTTCAATTCTGAACAAAGGCACATGCTCAGGTTGCAGACTCGATCCCCAGTAGGGGGCGTGCAGGAGGCAGCTGATCAATGATTCTCTCATCATTGATGTTTCTCTCTCTTTCTCCCTCTTTCTTCCTCCCTGAAATCAATAAAAATATATTAGAAAAATAATTTTTAAACAAAGATGGGAAAGCATACAGTGACCTTAGGTAGAAATACTCAACATCATAAATATTTCCACTCTCCCCAGCATCATCTATAAATGTCATTGATGCAATAAAAATACCAAGAGCATTATGTTGGAGCATGGGCAGGAGGGGGCACAGAGAGGGTGACCAACCCAATTCTAAACGTCAGGTAGAAAGTAAATAACCAAGAACAACCAGTAAAATTCAGAAAATAAAGTGTAACGGAGAGTAATGAGCCCTGCTGAGTATGAAAGCATGTCATTAGAGAACCATTGGTATAAGCAAATGACATCAGAGGAAAAGAATGGAAACTCAAGAAATATACCCAAGTACATATGGAAAGATAGTTATCGATATATAATAAATGTGGCACCTCACTTTTCTTGTCTAAGAAGAAAAGACCATCTTATATAATAAGAGGCTAATATGCAAATTGTCCCCTCAACCAGAAGTTTGACCAGGAATTCAACCAGGGGGTGGGGTCGGCCAGCCAACCTCCCAAGTCCCCTCCCCCCGACTGGCCCAGCCCAATTGACCTCAATCCGGGGCAGGCCGGCCAGACCCCACCCATGCACAAATTCGTGCACTGGACCTCTAGTTTAATATATAGTATTAGAATAACCAGGTTGTCATCTGAAAAAGAAGAAATTTAAATCACTATCTCTTTATCCCAGAATGGTTTCAAATGGATCAAAGATTTAAATGTCAAACAAAACAAAAACACTAAAGGACTTGAATAAGCCAAGGAAGAAATATGTCATAACCTCATGGTGAGAAAGACCTTTCTACTGCTGTTGCACAACCCAGGTTATAGAAGAAGAAATGATAAATTCAACTACACACAAAAAAATAGTTTTAACCTGCATGGCAGAACCAACCCCAAGTCAAGTCAAATGGCAGAGGACTCACTGGGAGGATTATTTGTAATAAAATATCATAGAGAGAGATCATTTTTCTAATATATAAAGAACTCTCATGGCTCTATTAGAACATCAATAACCCAACATTAAAAAAAAAAACAGCTAAGAGATATTAACAGATAGTTCTCAGAACAGAAAACCTAAATGGATTTGAAACATAATAAAAGGTATTCAGCATATGAAAAGGTATTCATATAAGAGAAATGCAAATTAAAGCCACTGCAGACAAAATTGATCAATTGAACCTCATCAAAATTCAAAACTTTTGCACTTTGAAGGACATTAAGAAAATGCAAAGACCAGAGCAGACTGGGGGAAGATATTTGAAAACATACACCTGATAAAGGACTTGTATCCAGAATATACAAAGACCTCTTATACATCTCAATTATGAGAAGATAAATAAGGCAATGAAAAACTTGACAAAAGACTTAGACAATTCACTGCTAATAAACACATGAAAAGATGCTCAACATCACCAGTCATTAGGAAAATGAAATTCAAACCACAAAGAGATACCATTTCATACCCACTAGGATGGCCATTATCAAAAGATTCTTGCCTCCTGGAATAATTGCCACTGTCAGTAAATGTTGAGGATGTGGAGAAAAGGGAGCCCTCATACATTACTGGTGGGGATGTAAAATATTGCAGCCACTTTGGAAAACCAGTTTGTCACTTTCTTAATAGTTAAGCATAAATTTACCAAATGACCCAGCAGTTCTATCCAAAAGAAATGAAAATATATGTCTACACACAAAAAAAGTTATACATGAACTAAAGGCCCAGTGCACAAATTTGTGCATGGCAAGGTTTCTTGGCCTGGATAGCAATCGAGGACTATAGGGGGTTCGGCTGGCCGGGGTAGGGGCCTCGGGAGGTTGGCCAGCTGGCTACCCCCATCAGAGGTGATGGGGAGCTAGTTGGCCGGGGGAGGGATAATGGGAGGTTGGCTGGCAGTGGGAGGTTGGCTTTAGGAACACACTGACCTCCATGGGACAGCTCTTGCGTTGAGTGCCTGTCCCCTTACGTTCAGTGTGTGTCATAGTGAATGGTCGACCTGTCGTTCCAGTTATTCAGTTGTAACTGTTACTTAGGCTTTTACATATATAGATATTCATAGCAGCATTTTGGCTCACAATAGCCAAAAAATTGAAACAACTTAAATGTCCATCACCTTTTAAATGGAGAGGTAAAATGTGGTCAATCCATGCAATATAGAGAATTACTCAGACATAAATAAAGGACAAACATCTGGTATACACTACAGCATGGGTGACCTCAAAGACATGCTAAGTGAAGGAAGCCAGACACTGAAGACTACATGTTCTATGATTTCATTTATATGAAATGTCCAGAAACATTAAATCTTTAGAGGCAGAAAGTAGACTAGTGCTGGCCCGGGAAGGAGGAAAGGCTAGAGAAAAGGGATTAGCAATGAATGGACACCAGGGAATCTTATAGAGATTTGGAAATGTTTTAAAATTGATTTATGGAGATTGCTGCACAGCAAATATATGCTTATAAAACATGTATGTATGTTTACATATGTGTGCACTTTGGAGGATTTTGCTATAATTGAAGAGCATGAGCAAAATAAATTCGGTGTTGATTTAAAAGATGGACCACCACAATCACATACCCTTTTTCATGGACATGATTTGCAAACAATGTTAGTTTTCTGTACCTGGGTGTGTGTACACACACATGTTTGCATGTATCTATTTGCAATGGCTCTGGAAACATTTCTAAGGTATAAGTTGACTTTCGAAAGTGGATCTTGTTGGCTGGCTCACAGCATGGAAGGAAATGTTTTGCTACATGCTCTTTTGTTATTTTTGAATTCTGAGCCATGCAAATGTATTATCTATTCAAAAACTAAATGAACAAACAACACAATTGATAAGGCTTTAAAAGATAAGCTGAACTGTATGCTCCACAAATAAAGATTTCATCCTTTTTTCAACTGCTCACATTTTTATGTATTTTTAAAAGTCTTCGCATTTCTAAAAGTTTCTAACATCCAAGAACCAAAAACTGTCAGTGCCCCACAGTGCTTCAGAACACAACACTCATGGGCAGCCATGATTTGGTTCTATGAGTTGAGGCGAACTCGATCCCCAAGGAAAACATTGCTATTTTGACAAGGGACTTTTAATCCTATCCAAAGACACCCTTTTTATTACCAAAAAATACACACAACACATACGTCACCTCTCACCTTCCCAGTGCCCTTCTCAGGGCCTCACTCCACCACAGTCTCCTAGAATGCAAGCTCACATGACTATGGTTTTGTTTAGGTTTTTTTTTTTTTGAAACCAGATGGTGCTAGAATGGCTGTTCTGTTCATGATAAAGCTGCTTTTCATACTTTTAAAGGTGTGAATTAAACTTGCAAGAGCAACATAGGTAATAAACATCAAAAATATAATACTAGAGTTGCCAGTGTGGCTCAGCAATTGAGTGTCCACCTATGTACAAGGAGATCAGGGTTCAATTCCCAGTCAGGGCTCAAGCCTGGGTTGTGGACTTGATCCCCAGTAGGGTTGTGCAGGAGGCAGCAATCAGTGATTCTCTCTCATCGTTGCTGTTTCTATCTCTCTCCCTCTCCCTCTTCCTCTCCTTTTCTCTCTGAAATCAATAAAAATGTACTTTAAATGTGTGTGTGTGTGTGTGTGTGTGTGTGTGTGTGTGTGTGTGGTGTGTGTGTGTGAGTGAGTGTGTGTGTGTGTGTGTGTGTATAAAAGCCTAAGCAACCATTACGGCCAAACAACCAGAACAACCTGTCAACCAGTTGCTATAATGTGTACTGACTTCCAGAGGGCAGGCACTCAATGCAGGAGCTGCCCACTGGTGTTCAGGGTGTTCCCACATTGGGAGCACCACTCAGCCCAGCGAGTGGCGGCAGCAGGCACAGCAAGGCCAGGATGAGCAGCTGCAGAACTGCACCCAGTCCTGGCTGGAGCTCCTCCCCAGCCACCTGCTACTTCTGCACTGCTACATCCCTCAAGGGGATGCCACTTCTGCACTGAGGCCACTCCAACATCCCCTGAGGGGCCCAGATTGAGAGAGAGCACAGGCCAGGCTGAGGGATCCCCACCCGTGCACAAATCTGTGCACTGGGTCTCTAGTACATATGTATTACAAAGAATAAATGAGCATTTGGGTAAATACTAATAAGATATAATCAGGTGGCCTTGCTCCCAGGAGGATGTGTGAACACAGCACGTTAGAAGGGTGGTGTCAGCACAGGGGTGTTTGTTATTCCTTTCCGTTTCTTTATGCTTAGACTGCACATGCATGTATCCTGAAGCTGCAGAGCGTTGTTATTCTTTACTACATGCATGTCATACTATAGGATGAGTTTACACATATCCTTTCTCATCTCACCTCCTCTCTCCTACATGATGAAGTGCATCCTAGTGAGCACTGGTTTAATCCCAGCTCCGCCACTCACTAGCTGTATGTCCTTGACCAGGTTATTGAACTCTGTGCCTAAGTTCCTTCCAGTAGAATGGGTGATAACAGCTCCACCCAGGGCTGAGTCTAGGAGTCAAGGAGTTAGTTGGTGGAGCTCACAGAGCCGGGGCCTGGCATATTACCAGTGGTATGGAGGGGCATGTTAACTTCCTTTTAGACCTGAGAAACTGAATCTCAGATCAGGTATGTCGCACATCTCAGTCCCATGGCCAATGATGAGCAGACTGAGGGTCACACAGGATGTGTGTCCTCTCATCGTCACCCTCCTAGCTCCCAGAATCCATAGCTCTCCATCCTAGCAAGTGAGAGCTTCTCAGACATCTGCTGTATTGAACTGAATTTTAGAAGCCTTTACTGATTCTTCAATGATGCTGGTCCTGTATGAACCAGGTACCACTTTAACAAATGTTTTAATTGTGGAGGAGTAAACGGGTTTGGTCATTGCAGGAAATATAAATTAAACCTCAGCTGGAAGAAAGCAACTCTGAGAAGAGACGTGTGATCATTGACAGAAACGTGAGCAGCAGAGCAGCTGTCACCATCGGAGTCCAGGCAGGAAACAGGGATTTGGAGAAGAGGTGTGGCCAGGCCTGGCCCTGAGGCCGTGGCTCCAGTGATGAGGAAGCCTCCATCTCCTCGTGTGCCAGAGCCGCTGGGAGTTGAGCAGCTCTGCCTTAGGGAGGAGCTGGGCTCAGAATGCCCCATCTCTCTCTCCATCTGCCCTCAGAGGCCATACTGCTGCCTCCCACTGACAACCCGCCCAGAGGCAGGGAGAGCCCTGTGATATCCCAGGAGGAGCCATCCTGCGGGCCCATAGCAGGCAGAAACCCGTGACTGACCAGCAAACACTTCCATCCAGACAAGAAAAACAGTTCTCCTCTTGATAGGGCGCCATTAAAATGCTATCGTTGTTTTGTTTCTTATCAGGTTATTGAAGATATTATTGCAGCCCAAGAAGAGGAGGAAAAGAAAAGGAAGGAAAAGAAAAAGGAAAAACAGAAAGACCAAAAAGTTAAGGAAAAGAAAGGACCGAAAGAAAAAATTAAGGTAAGGATTCTGGAATTTTAGAAAGTTGAGGTTTTTTTTTTGTTTGTTTGCTTGTTTTGCTCTTTTGCTTTGAGTCAATGGAATCATCTCAGATCTGCTGAGATGGCAGTCATTCCTTTCCTAGGGAACCATGCTGTCAACCGGTGGTTTTCCCGTCTTGTTTATGCTGACAGACAGTAGGATGCCATCCTTTCTGTGCTGAGGTGGGCCCCTTGGGCATCCCCTTCTGGACCCAGGCACCCAGTCCCCAAATTCCCAGAATGTTCTGACTTCCGGGAGCTGATCCACCTGAGGTTACCATCCCACCCACCCCACCCCACCCCAGAGCAGCTGCATCCAAGGACAGCCATGTTAGCGTACAAAGCACAGCCCCCTCACCTCACTGGGACAACTCTGAAGGGTTCTCCCAACTCTTTGGCTTTCTGTGGGACCAGCTGAGAGCTCCTTGTCATTGCATAACAGCCAGTTTCTCCCTGTGCCCTGATTTGTGGCTTTTTTCCCTGCCTCTCCCCATGTGTGTTATTCCCAGGAAACCCTCTCAGCTGTTCCCAAACCCTCTGAGTATCTCCAGGGAACCCAACTCGTGAGACCACCTATTGCCCTGCTAATCTGCCTGCACCCCAAAAGTTAGAAACTGTTCCCTCATCCCCCCCCCCTCAAAAATGACAGCTCACACAATAACGCTTATTGAATAACCTTCCTCTCGCTTGGAGAGTTTTAAGCAGTCCCCAAGAGTAAGAACAATTGAAAGAGTTTCGATGTTATTCTGAGCATCTCCTCTCAGCATGCTTGAGGGCATCTGTCATTTGCAGATTGAAAATTCACTGTTAGTGAAGCTTGTTTCATAAAAATCTGAAAGTACCAGCTACACAATCTGGTATATGTTGAGTGATGGTGTTTTATTTACTAGCTATTCGAGAGTCACCGAAGGCCTGGCCAGTGTGCTCAGTGACTGAGCATCAACCCATGCACCAAGAGGTTGCTGGTACGATTCCCAGTTGGGATACATGCCTGGGTTGCGGGCTCAATCCTAAGAATGGGGCTTGCAGGAGGCAGCCGTTTGATGATGTTCCTCTCTCATCAATGTTTCCATCTCTTTTTCCCTCTCCCTACCTCTTTCTCTAAAATCAATAAAAACTTGTTTTTAAAAAGTCACTTAACAATGAACAGTTTGGAACAAAAAGCAAAGTTTGAGTACGTCAGTATTTATGATGCAATTGCAAATGATAGGTGACACCCTGCAGAATCACTTAGAAATGAATTTAGCCCTGGAAAGTACAGGTCTCCAAAGTGACAATGTGATTATTGAAAGAATAATTGGTCATCGCTAATAAAAATTGGTATATTTAAATTATGCGGAATATGCTTCTTAGAGATCAGATTATCTTCCCCATTGACTTTTAAAAGTCAACCCTCAAGTGTCCAGAACATTCCTGAGCCCAGCCAGTCAAACCCGTGTGTGAGAGTTGGTACTTTGACCTGTAGAAAAATGACATCTGTTACTCATTCTGGTGGAAGGGTAAGGCCTGGAGAGAGGAAATAGTTCTGTTGGACGTGCACAGACACTGACTCACGTGGCCTGTGTCCGGGGCAGAGCTGTGACGATGCTCTGGTATCTCATAACTTAGGGGCTTATCAGCCGCCAGCCACATGTAAATAATCAGAAACTAGGAAAGTCCTCCTATTTTTAAAAAGCTGATAGGGTTATTTGAATATTTCCACTAACCTCTATAAACAGAAAATACTCTTCAAAATATCACACAGGTAGAAGATTGAAAGCTTTGTATGTTCCTGAGATGTTACAAATGAGCATAGGTAGCAGGGTGGCTATTGAGAGGACCTGGAGGACAAGTATTGGAGGCAGGATGCGGGGTTCCAGGCAATCTCCAAGCCAGAGAACCAGAGGACAGCTTCAGAGAGGGATGTGCAGCGATGGGCTGGGGGGCTGGTGGAGCCTTGTGCCTCCAGAGAGGAGTCAGCTCTGGGCAGTGACTTGAGCAGTTCAGAGTTCAGTGAGTTGTAATCTAAGATCTGTGCTGCACAGCCATGTTGGGGGATGGACTGAGGGGGAGTAAGTGACCAAGGCAGGGAGGCCAAGAGAGCAGGTAAGACATCAATAGCCAGTAATCTGTACAGAGAAACAGGTGCCAGGATCCCAAACGTCCTGCTGAGCCAGGGGAAAGTCACGTCTGCTTGGGGGAATCCAGGATGGCTTCACAGATGAGGGGACATTTGCCTCAGATCTAACGGGAATTTTCCACTCCTGCTCTCCCTCCTCCTCCTACCCCTCCTCTCCTTCTCCCTCTCCCTCTCTTTCTCCTCCTCCCCCACAAAGGCAATATTTATATCTATAGGGGCTCCTGGAGGCTAAATAGGACAACCTGAGTATCCAAAACAAAAATGGCAATAATAGCTAGCAACACATTGACTAAAAAATGTCTAAGACCCATGAGTCCTCAGTGACACCGGAAGAGAGAGAGATGAATAGGACATCAGAGAACACTAATTACAGTTACTTTAAATTTCCCAGGTGGCCATACATTAGCTCTTTCCTCCAAGGACATGCTTTGTGCAACACTGGTCTTCTTGCTGATCTCGCAGGTTTTTCTCAGATGACTGGATGTGAGGTGGCGGGGAGCCGCAGTGGCCAGCCCTGGGCACTGGGGAGATGGACTAGGAAAGGAATGTACCTTCTCAGTGAGCTTGGGTTTCCTGTGGGTTCTGGAAGGTGGGGCAGCTGCTCCCTGGACTCTGAGCCCCTGATGTTTCTGGGTTCAAGTTCTCCCCCAGGTGCTGCAAGACAAGTGGTCTCCCTCCTAGGCTCAGCAGCCCCACGATTTGTGAGCTGTGGTTCCAGGCAGGCCCTCCATGAATGAGCCCCCAGCACCCCGACCTCCTCCTCCTCATAGCTCCTCGCTCTGTGAGCTCAGTTCACCCGTCTCCCCTCCTGCCCTGGGTGCCTGGTGTCCAGAAAGGAGGGGCACGCCCATGCCCTCCGGAAGCCGCGCAGGGGAAGGTGCTCATGGTCTCGTGGCCGCGCTGCCTCTTAGCTGTGGAGGGAATACCTGGGGGCCCAGGAAAATCCTCATGGACATAACGTCCACCACATTATCCCCCGCCCTCTGTGGGGTGACAACAGTCATGGGAATGTCTGCAGGCACCTGGCACTCGAACGGTATAAATAAACATTATTGCTCAGAAACATCAGATAAGGCTTTGTGAGCCAGGCTGTCACAGCAGGAGCAGCGGGGCCCTGGTGCTGCGGGGCACAGAGGACTTCTCCACGGGTGAGGGTTCAGTCTCACCTGAAGGCGGTGCCGGGGCCCAGGATCACGTGGTCAGCAGGTGCTCAGGCTCTCTGCTCTGGAGCCCAGGTGAGGCTTGAATGGCTTCGTGGCTGAGGAAGGGGACAGACAAGCAGCAGGGAGGGGCAGCCAGGTGCTCATACAGGTGCAGAGCTGGCGCTGGGCAGAGCAGAGCACAGATGGAGCAGCCCCAAAACGGAATCACACACATGGTGAAAGGAGGGGTCAGGACCAAACTCAGGGCATGGGGACTGCGGGGAGGTGCCGAGTGTGGACAGCGGCATCAGGGTGCCTGTGAGCCAGCAGCGGAGCTACATCTCCAGAACCACCCAGCCCCGTGTCCAGCTGGCCCGCAGGGGTGCCCGGGGAGGAGTCCGTGGGGACCGTGGGGGCAGGAGTCACGGTGGATGCGCCTTTTCTGTCCGGTCTCGGCAGATGCACGGTGCCTTCAGGTCACAGAAATATCATTCTGCTTTAACAGGAGGAAGACGAGCCATGGAAAATGTCACCCAGTGTTTTCCTTCAAACGATGGAGGAAGGAAGTAACATATACAAAGGTCAGTTTTGGAGAATAAGAGCAACACTGAGGTGTCACTCTGTCCACCCAGCAAGCCCTGGACCCCAACACCCAGCACCCTGTCAGGAGAGGCTGTGAGCATGCAGCTCAGAGCCAAGACCTGCCCCTTTCTATTATATCTTTAGATTCCTTTGAGTGCCTTCAAGGCAGATAGTGGATAGGAAAGAAGGCAGATAGTGGGTAGGAAAGAAGGCAGATATGGGGTAGGAAAGAAGGCAGATAGTGGGTAAGAAAATAGGATGAGAACATAATCAAAACCTCCTTTCTGTGTTTGGACCCCTAACACTTCACATCTTCTGGCTGTAATGAAAGGGCAGAAAGCCGTGCCCTGGATGGTTTGATAAGCCGATTCTGTACGTACAGCAAAAGGCTTTAGGCCTGTGAGACCTGTGCCGAACACAACACCGTTCTTTGTCCCCTGTTCTCATAATTAGCCCAGCCACATCCAGCGAGAGCTGCAAGTGTGTGGATCAGCCTTTCAGATGTTTCCATGAAGATTTACAAGAACAATTGACCAATGTCTTTGGGTCCACTCCACCCTCAGGATAAACCCCAGCACAAATGACTGGCCACGGGGACTGTGGTCGTTGGTGCTAGGTGGTGGTAGTTGGGAATTCCTCAGAAATGCATCAAGGGTGTGAAGTGCAGTTTTCCCAGCAGCAGTCACATGTGCGCCTCCTTCTGACTCTGGTCCTGTCTGGACAGCCCGTGCTGGTAGTTACATAACATATTATCAAACCGACTCATGGCTTTACCCCAGTAAATGGAGCCACATCCTCAGCACAAGCACAGAGTCCTTACAGGTGTGATATACCAGTTATCCAAAGGAAGAGTGTTGTGTACCCCTAAAATTTTTCACAAAGCACGGGAGTGCGGGTCTTGCTCCGGGTGAAAGGCTGGCCTGCGGGAGAAGCCCAGAGGAGAGGACAGTGTTGGTGGGATTGGGTGCCGCTCTTACTGGGGAGGAAGGCAGAGGGCAGGTAACTGTATACTTATCAGGGGCCCAAGACATGCCACGCTTAGTGTTTCCCATGCTGACTTCAGTTCTTCACAACAGCCAGGACAGGTGAGCCTCACTGCCCCATTGGCAGATGCTTTTAGACCCACCATCATTCAGGTTTGAGAGTCCACCCACTCTTTAACCAACAACAGAGCGGAGCAGTGACTATCAAAAACACCTATCCAACACCATTGGCTGTCTCCATGTGCCTGGCACCGTGCCAACCTGGAGATACAGAGCGGTACATGCCAGCAACATGCCTACAGGATGGTGGCGGTGGATGGGGTGGGGACAGTGCCCCACGTTGGGTAGCTTGTGTAAGTTAAACCCTCACTTGTTTCATATTCTCTTGGACCTTCGAGCTCACTTTTCCTGCCTCCCAACATATTAGGTAACTAACCAGTTCATCCTTTTTAGAAGCCCTCGCTCCCAGGGCCCGGTCACCTCATCCTCGGGCCTGCCTTTGCCTCTCCTGGCTGCCACCCCCTCATCCTCTCATTACTCCCTCGTTGAGGTGGTGCCCTGTACATCTAGATACTGTCCTGCACGCACATGGGCAACAGTTCCCCAGCATTTGGAAAGCCTGGCTTTCTTCTCTGAAAACAAGGGAGAAAGAGAAAAAGTGGGAGAGAGCAATCCTCCTCTACCATCGTAAGAAGTCAGGAGCCCGTGGCTGAAACTGGTAAATCCACAGGTAACATTGTACGCTACCTGTGGATTTACCAGTTATTTAGACACCGGGAGAAGACGAGAGAAACAGCTAATGCTCATGTGAAAATCCGTCACTTCACACCCTGCTCCACTGGCCTGCTCTGCTCCTCCGCCCACGAGCCAATCACACTTCCACCTCAGGGCCCTCGTCCCTTCTGTTCCCCTTGCCTGGAATGCTTGTCCCTGCAGGTCTTCCTCGCCTGACCCTGTGCCCACCCTGACCCAGCTTGACTCGCCTGCATCTGGCTTGGATGTGTGTGTTCACTGTCTTCCTGCAGCGGGAAGCCAGGGCCTTGGAAAAGGGGCCTGCCGCTCCGGGCCACTCTGAGGGCAGTGCTGGCTGGTAGTGAGGCTCCACAAAGTCATGAATTTAACATGAATTTGTGCATAAAGTATTTATATGAATACATCTGAATTTATTCAGTGCATTTTCTAATGAATGAATGAACGAACGAATGTGGGAATGAATGCCATCCGGTAATGTTCTTGAGGTGGGCAGGCGGTTTTTCATTATAATCTGTTAATGCTCTTGAACTTTGTTTAAGGCAATGGGCATGCATCGTTTTGATAAAAGGAACACTTAATTTGGGAGAAATCTTACGCTTCCTAGAGAAGCCAAGTCTTTTAACTAAGGAAAAGCTCCGGGAAAACTCTTGAGACTACCCATGCCTTTTGTGTAATATCTGTTTCCATTACGGAAAAAAAAAAGAAAAGAAAAACACAAAAACACGCTGTGGCTCCCAGGGCGGGTGGTGTGGCATTCCGTGTGTTATCTGTCAGGTCTTTGGAAACTTAAAGAAATGAAATATCCTGTCTTAGACCTCTTTTCTTAAAAATCAAAGGTTTTCCTTCTCAGAGCAGCCATTAGCATTTTAATCGCTGAGATGAAGCCCCCTCCCTCATCACTGAACGTGTGAAAGTGCCAGGCCTGCTTTTCAGCCTCAGATAAAGGCTCATTCTCTGCTGGAGCGGGGAGCAGGGCAGGGGTTGCCCTTGGAGGGCCGTGAATGGCTGCCTGCATTTACAAATGCCCGTGACATTCTTGAAGGGATTGAGAGGTGCCCTGTGCAGAAGTGTCATGAGAAAGGCAAAGTCTTGGTGGAAAATGCCATGTGAAAGGCGTGGAGGTGCGGCAGTCGGCGGGCCGTCTTGGTGTGATACGGTTACAGCAGCGGGAACTGGCCGTGAGGGGTCACTGCAGTTACATCAGCAACCACGTCATGGTTTCCTTTCTGTGCAAATCTGTGTGCCTTTCTGCTCTTTTTTTTTTTTTTTAATTTTTTAATGTTTTTTCCACCTGGCATCCTACATGGCTATGGCAATATTAGTGACTATATTCCTAATGCTGTACTTCACTTCCCCGTGGCTTTTTTGTCACCACCAATTTATGCGTCTTACTCCCTTCACCTCTTTCAGCCAGGCCCCAACCCTCTCTGGGTCTATGAGTGTGTCTATTTTGTTTGTTCATTTATGTTGTTCTTTAGATTCCACATGTACGTGAAATCCTGTGGTATTTGTCGTTCTCTGATTGACTTATGTCACTTAGCACAGTACCCTCTGTGTCCATCCATGCTGTCTTGTCGGGAATAGTAAGATTTCGTTCTTTTTTATGGCCAAGTAATATTCCATTGTGTATAGGTACACCACTTTTTTATCCACTTGACTATTGATGGGCACTTGGGTTGCTTCCATAAGTTGGCTATTGTAAATAATGCTGCAATGAACATAGGGATGCATATACTTTTGAATGAGTGTTTTGGATTTCTTTGGATATATACCCAGAAGTGTAATCGCTGAGTCATAAGGCAGATTCATTTTTAGCTTCTTTTGGGAGACCTTTCTACTGTTTCCATAGCAACTGCACCTGCCTGCATCCCCACCAACAGTGCACATCCTCGCCAGCACGTGCTGTTTCTTGAGGTGTTCTTTTCATCATTAAATACATTGCTTCCCGATTTGGATAAAACTGGTATCTAAGTGGAAAGCCAAGTTAATAAGTAACAAAGCAGTTTTGCTTTATTGAAACGTTTATAAATCACTATTGGAGATTTAGTCATCGTATAAGTTAGAAAAGAGTTGTTATAAGTAGATAGTACATTCTCATGCGTTATGTTATTAGTTAATCGTATATTTACTGTTAATAAATAGGACACATTTAAACCTTTTATAGTATTTTCAAGGGAGGGCAGCTTACAACTTTAAACACATAAAAAGAAGCGTGCTATTACTCCTCCATCTCAGATGGTCCTCCTTTAAGCTTAGATGCATTTCAGCATACCAGCTGGGCTTTTGGTGCCACACCCAGCACGCTAATCACAAATGCACCTTCCGGAGCAAAGATTACATTCATTTATTCATGACTTCTGGTGTTTTTCACACCAATGGGATGATATGGACATCTTACACCAGGTGTTTTCCTCGTGCTCTGACTCTGGAAACCAGGGAGACCTCTCTAAAAATAATAAAAATTCAGCCCCACTTTCAGCCCCTTCCTGTATGCCCACTCCTGCTATACAGCCCATGTCAGCCTTTGAGGTCTTCTGCCCTTGCCAGACCTGGATCCAGACCAGCTGAGCCCGGCCAGCTGTCCTCTGAGTCACCGGTTTCCGCTGTGAGGTGGGCCCGCCTGACCTGCTTGTAGAAATTAAACGTGTGTTTTCTATTGCAGGGAGCTGCTTATCTGTCTTCATGTTGAAAGAAATGTTCATTTTCCTTTTCTTTGTCCTTCTGGAGCATAGACATGTGGAAGAACAAAGACGAGTCGTTGAATTTCCCCCAGGGCTACGATCCGGAAATTCTCAAAGAGGAGAAGCGGAAGGAGCTGGAGGTGGAGATCCGGGTTCAGGTAGAGCCACAGAGCTGGTGTGCTGACACCACGCCTCTCCCAGCAGCACCGGTGCTCAGTGCCCAGTCCTCCTCATGACTGATCCGGAACCGAGGGCATGCGGGGCCTGCATAGTCACCTGAAAGAGGTGTGTTTTGTATTCACCTAGGTTGATGAGCTGATGAGACAGGAGCTAAAGAACATCAAACTTGCTGTGAACAAAGAAAAGGAACTTCCGGTCAGAATAGGAAAGAAGAAAGGAGGTAAAAATGTGAGTAGTGAATGAGTGTAGGGAGGGATGAGGCCAAGGGCAGATTCCACCCGGGACAAGGAACCCCTTTCTCAGGCTCCAGCAGCGTGGCCAAGATGCTGCCAGGCCCACCTGGCTGTGCCCTCTGCTTCCCAGGGGAACATGCCTCTCCTCCCTGAATCCGCCTTGTCACACCACTCAGCCCTCGGGTTGTGGGGATAAAGTCAACCCCTCATCATTGTGGATTCTGATCGCCCAGCCCCAGCGATCAGAGGGGAACGAGAGGAGCCAGGGCATGTGCCTCACATGCCCACCCATCGCTCCCGGTAGGTTGATCTGTGAGGGTGGGGGGCCAGTGGCAATGAGCAGCTTCTTGGGGTGGGGGCAGATCAGATGAATTGCATTTTAAATTGCCACAGATCCTTCTCACAGTGGTTTGGAGTGAGATCATAGCAAATATATATATCTGTCTCCGACTGCTTGTGTCAAGGAACTTCCCAAACCCTTGGGACATCTTGTTCTGATGGGCAGCTCTGGGCAGGCTCCTGGATGGTTCGGGATGGGAGGTGGTCCCCAGGAAGAGCATCCATGATGAGGAGCCTGGAACTCTCAGCCCCACCTCCATTCTCTAGAGGAGGGAGACGGGCCGGAAAGGGGGAGGATCACTGACCATGCCGACGTGAAGAGGTCTCCATGAAAACACCAGTTTCACGGGGTTCGGAGAGTGTTCAGGATGGTGAACAAATCACATGCCAAGGGCATGACGCACCCCAACTTTACCGGGTAACACACCCCAACCTAACCGGGATCCTGCACTCAGGACTCTCCCAGGACTCGCCCCGAGTATCTCTCCACCTGGCTATTGGTCTGTATCCTTTACAATACCCTTTAATAGACATGAGTCCCATTTTTGTGGATTTTGTGAACCATTCCAACAAACTAATGGAACCCGAGCAGGGCATCATGGGAAGCTCAGCTTTACAGCCAATTGGTCTGTAGCATTCTCACCAAGCAACCTCTTAAGAGGTTATTATAGTTCCATGTTGATTTTCTGGCATTGAGGACATCTTCAGGGTCCATTTCCCTGGACAATTCTATTTCTTATTGTAAATTAATCAATTTACATTCATCAGCTGGCAACCCCTTGATGACATCGTTAGCCTTGCCTCTCGGGGTCATCTCTCGCTTCTCTCTCTCTTCTCTCTTCTTTCTTTTCTCTCTCTCTTGAGTTCCTCCCTAGTTGTAGCAGAAAACCTTTTAGGTCATTTGAGTTCTGGAGAAGCCACAGGTATACATTATTATACATAAATTATACTTCAATAAAAATAATGAGTGTGTGAATGAGGTAACAGGGAGGAGAGGAAGAGTAGAGCGTTAAGAAAGGGCCGTGGTCAGTCCCGTGTGGCACGGATCTCAGTCACCTGAGGAGGCCTGAGATAGAAGGGGAAGCAGGAAAGGAGAGAGGCCGGCTGAAACACTGTGCCTGTGCAGAATGCAGAGGCGACGGGCCTGTTATAATGATCAAGTTCTCGGCGCCTCCCCTGCTGTCCCGAGTCTCTGAAGGCAGAGCCCTTTGGGAACCAGAGGTGGACAGTTGCCCAATCCTGTGGGCTCCTGGTTTCAGACCGGATGCTAACAGAGAGGTGACTGGATACCAAAGATACGCGTGGCTTGCTCGCCTGCGTGCACGGCCCTCTCAGGTGTCAGAGCCCAGAGAATCACAACACCCAGGGCCTGATGGGAATGCGGCCCTGGGGGATTCACGGTGCTGACCTCCCTTTCTGTCCACCCAGGGACGGGTCCACTGGGCAACAAGAGATCTTCGGGGCCAGTTTCTACTTTCATGGAGCCAGAATTCTAACTGCTCGTGTTTCCCTAAAACAGCTGCTTCTCCTTTGGCTTCCCGCCGCCACCAAAAACCAGCTCCCTTAGCTGATTCCTAGAGTTAATCTGCTTCCTTGTTTTTCCTAACCTGATGGATATTTCTATTGTCTTTCAGAAAACTAAGGGGAAGAAAGGGAGAAGGGGAAAGGATAAAGACCTGACAGCTGACAGGTAAGGAGGGCCCTGTTCTGTTGTAAAGCACATGGGAGTGAGGGGGAGGGGGACACCCACAGGAGGATGGGGCACACCTGAGGCCTCAGCCTCCATCTGGCAAAGGGGCCCCTGCTGGCTCCCCACACCCTACGGGTGTCACGAGCATAGTGGAACCTCCGTGTGCCCTGTCCAAGGAGCAGCACCTACTGGGAGATGCTCCAGGAAGATGGGCTCGGAAGGCACACGTGGGCCATTGCCTCTGAGCTCACATGACCTTTTTTACGTTTTAAAATTCATGGGGTCCTTAGAAATTGTTTAAACAATAGCATCCTGATCCAACTTTGGAGGAAATATGGAGACACTTTAAGAAATATCTGTTTTATGAAGTTAATGGAAACCTTACTCCAGTATTTCTATAATAGTTTAAGGCAGTTTTGAAGTTGAAAATGTATTCTATAACAAAAGTCCATTTCACTGGCAATATTCAAATATAGGTTTGTGTTCTTAATATAGAGTTTCGATTATTTTAGGGAATCTTTAATTTCATGTTAATATCTTGTGCATTTTATATGCTTATCTTGAATAAGGCATTCAAGCTAAACTGCTACAGTTGATATTTTCTTAACATAGGTCAGATACTGTTATCCCAAATTCCATCACAATTCCAACCTCCTTCGTTCTCAGCTGAGGGCACACTGTTTTAAATATATTTGGTGGAATAAAATTCCAGTCAATCAAAGGTGGGGATCATGGGATTAACATTCATCCCAGTGGTATTTGGCTTGAACCTGATATTCTAAAGTCTTTAACCTGGATCCACGCTCACCTGGGTCCTAGAGCAGCCACGGAGCTGTTTACATATCGTCACATTTACAGCTCTTCCACCTAAAGAAAGAGGAAGGCCCCTGGGAAAGAAAAGGGAAAAGACAAAACACCTCCAAGGATTATGCCAAACAATATTTGAACCTGACCTATCTGAATGCCTGCAAGTCAGGCCCCAGTTAATTTCACTGGGGAGTCTCATTCACCAAGGGGCATAGTACCTCCGTGTTTTCCCTCAGTTAGTATAAATTACCCATGTGCTGGCTGTCTGCCCAAGGACCTCGGAGGGAAGTGGTTTTGACATCTGTAAACACTATGGAAAAGTATAATATCCTCCTGAAAGATCATCACACTCAGAACTATAGACCGGAATCGTTTCCCCTGCAAGTCTCTTGTTCTTTCTACACATTTCCTGTAAACTACCATATTTTCCGGCGTATAAGACGACTTTTGAAATGAGAAAAAATCAACCGAAAATCAAGGGCAAAAGACCAAAATTGCACAAAAATTACCTGCAGATCTTGACAGCAAAGTAAGTCTTTTCTTTGAAGTGGGGGGTAGTCTTATACAGCGAATATAGGCCTAAACCTATGTTTTAACTGTAAAAATTAGGGGGTCGTCTTATACGCCGGAAAATACGGTATTATGCTATTATTAGCTTCAAAGGAAACATCAATTTTGTGGCGGATTAATGATCTACCACGGCTTGCCGATGCTAACTGAAAATATCGATTATGGTCCATTGTGTTATTATTTTTGGCTAATTTCTAATTCACATTTGTGCCATCAAGAAGACCGATGGAAGGACAGACAGCAAGAGTTATAGCTGGTCCCAGATACGGTTCGTGTCCCTGGGAAACATCTGCCATATACATGGATGTGTGAACGTATTGTTTCTTAAAAAGTCTAATTTATCCCAAAATTGTAGAAATGTCTCAAAAACCCATTTGTTTGCACATATACAAACGTCCTTTGAAATAGCTCTGGTTAAAGCTCCTGCAGATGTGATGGTTAGCGGAAGTACTGCTGCCTCTGCATGTGTGCTCATGAAACCGACAGTCTGCTCCCTTCCCAGAACCATCGAGTCTCTGTACAAGGAACTGGTGGAAGAAGGACTCCTGGTCCAGACCCTGAAAGTCAACCTCTCCGACTACATCGGTAAAGTGCACGGCGCGGAATGCACGCATGCGGACCCTAGGTCATCCCTTGGGTGTTGAGTCCCCGACCTGGCCCACTGCGGCTCGCAGTGTTTGTTGGATGTGAATTGATTTGAATTCACTCCGCTTTGAACTAATGGGTCCAGCTCTCGCCCCTGGCGTGGCAGAGGCAGGTTTTCTACCGGGGCATTCTTTCTGGTAGAAGCTGAATCGAGGATGTGAGGACACGGAGACGTGTTCATGCATTCATGGCTAAACATGTGCTGAGGGGACAGCACCTGGTGCTCCCACACTCAGTCCTTCCGGGAGGACCCTTCCAGAGGGGCCGCCATAGGCGGAGTCAAGAGGAAGGTGGGGGAACATTTGCCGTCACCAATGCAACATCTGTTTTTTCCTTAATTTTTAAAAAATGTGATGACCTGAAAACAAAGTAAAAGCTTAAAGACTCTATACAATCCCACCCCCTGGTGCAGACGTCACTTTCAGTGTCAGGTGTCTACAGCAGACGAGGAAATTATCCTTTATATCAACAGATGGATGGTCATGCTCAGAAAATTTAGCATTTCGCAGGCCAGCATGCCTGAGCGGTTAGAGAATCGGCCCGAGCACCGAAGGGTCTGGTTTGAGCTGTTCAAGGGCTTGTACCTCAGTTTCAGGTTCAGTCCCCAGCCCTGGTTGGGGGCATGTGGGAGGAAACCAGTCAATATGTCTCTTACATCGATGTTTCTGTCTCTCCCTTCCTACCTTCCACTCTCTAAAATTAATGGCAAAAATATCTTCAGGTGAAGATTAACAAAAAAAATTAACATGAATATGATACTGTCAGTTAATATCTAGTTACTAATCCATTTCACCAGCAGTCCCACAGTGTCCTGTAGACTTGTCTTTTTCAGTCCAAACTCTAGTCCTGGATCAGGGACGTGCTGGTCCTCCCTTTTCAGTCTCCTTTCACTCCTTCAACCCAAAACAATTTCCAGCATTTTCCAGTCTTTCGCTGAATTACCTTTTAAAACAGTCGGAACTGTTTCACAGACTGTCCTTCGACTGAATTGGTTTGATATTTTCTTAGGACTTGATTCACGTGAGATACATGTAACAGGAAAGCTGCCCAGGTGACGCTGTGACCTTCTCAGCAGTTCACATCAGGGACATTCGGTGATACTTTGTCCCTCCCTGGTGATAAGTGTAATCCCTGGCCAATGAGCTGCTCCCCAGGTTTCCCCCTGTGAAGCTTCATGTTCCACTTTTTCACTAATGGGTAATTGGGGGGCGGCTACGTTGAGGCTGTGAAGATGCTGTTCCTTCCCATCTTTAAGGCATCTACATCTACTGCAGAGTTCCACTGCATCGCTGTTGCCATGGTGGCTGTCAGGTGGCGGTGTTCTGTGTCTAGCACCCCTTCTACGTTTATTAGGTACTGTTCTTCTAGGAGGAAACCTCCTTGCAAAGATGTGGTATCTGTGTAGACACATGGCTTCTCTCTTTTTTAAATAGTGTTATAATTCAATTCTGTCTTATTCATTCTTAAGTTTCCAATGGCCCAATTAGGTCTGTGGGAGCAAGAAGGCTGAAGTTTGCCCTTTGATAAAAAATAAAATAAAAATAAACACTTTAATCCCCTTGAAAGAAAGTCACATTTCCTTCCTGAGGCCGTGGAGGAGCCTCCAGAGTTCCTGATAATGTAAGAATTTTACCAGGGTATATTGGAATATGTGTTGAGTTTCTGTTTATGTTATGTGTTTCTTGTTCAAGTACTATAGGTTTTTTTTGCCAGACTCCCTTGATTATGGTAATTCTGTGCTTATTTTAAAAAATGACATTTTTAAAATATATTTTAATTTATTTCAGAGAGGGAGAGAGAGAGAGATAGAACTATCAATGATGAGAGAGAATCATTGATCAACTACCTCCTGCATGCCCCCTACTGGGGATCAAGCCCGCAACCTGGGCATGTGCCCTTGACTTCCATTTCCTTCTCCTCCCCATGGAGGAGCTGGCATCTGAGTCCTGGCTGAGCAGGTGACATAGGTGTGTGACTTCCATGCTGGGTGACTGCAAACGTGGTCACTTTCAGAATGCGTCTCATCACTTGGCAGACGGCCCCGACTTGTGTCCTCCACTCTGTCAGAACCCACAGCCACTAATTCAGCCTAATGAATTATCTGTCTAAATGAAATCCGTTTATGCTGGAAAACATGATGCATCGGATATTAGTATGGATTTACTTAAGCAGGGACATGGGGATCACTTTCATGTCACCTCTCATGTCCGGTTTACAGTAATGAGGGCTGGGCTTAACGCTGGCTGCAGGCTCTCTCCCAATCCCTGTGGCAGCTAAATTAACCACTGCTCTGTTTATTACCAGCTCATTAAAAGGCACGGGGTCAGAAGCAGAAACTTCTGTTATCACTCATCTCCCCACCGGCACACCCGTCCTTGTGTCTTTTACCAAGGACTTTATTTTCTCATGTGGAGGCTTTGCGAGACTGCCCTCCACAACAAAATAGCATGCATCATCTGGTGTTTGACTCCATTCTCTCAGCAATGGAAAATGCTTTAAAGGTTTTGATATTTTCAATATTTCACATGCACACACGCACATTTTTTCAGTAGTTTTCTATACACACATAAATGTATACTTGTCATACATATATAATATTGAAAGGTAGGCGAGATCTGAACTTGGTACAAAAGACTCAGAAGAAATGATCATGTAGTGTTTTTACTTCAGATTCCGCTACAAATCAAGACTCTATGAGCATGTCAGGGTCCGTCCTCCACAAATGAGACCGCCAATCTCATTTCTGTGGTGACCTTCTCTAGATTAGTTGGAAAATAACACTTCAGATTTATGACTCATCACAATTAAGCCCTTTGATGCCTTCTAATTAAACCTGTAAAGATTTATTTCGATCTTATTCCTTTGGCGATCCTTTAAAAAGGTAAATGAATATTACCCTCAAAAAGAGATGTTTCTATTTATCCTCAATTAGACTCGTGTCCTTCCTTTCAAAAGAGTGTGTTTCAGAGTCAGATTTGCACCGTTCCAGAACGCATTCCACCTGGCGATCTGTGTGTGCCGACGTCAGGATCTCCTGGAGTATAAATTAAACAAGACCTGCATCTTTTAGTCTCCTGTGTACATCCCTCATTTTAGAGCGTTGTTCCTCTTCACAAGCCCAATATTCAGAGGTTATTTTTTTTTAATTTGAAGAGTTTAGTGTCACAGTCAACACACAGCTCAGTTACTACCCCAGTGTGCTTTTGCAGCTGTACAATTCTTTGAGCCTTTCGCTGAGAAAACATGTCATTTGAGACTGACCCTCCATCATGGATTGTATTTGCTCAGAAACGTTAGATTTTCATCAAGTGCTACGATCCCCAGATCAGACCAGCAGTTTCCGCTCATTTGTCCTGTTTCTTTCCGCAGGTGAGTACAGCTACCTGGGGGCCACTCTTCGCCGGGTCTCCATAGAGCCCATGCCTTCCCTCCTGGATGTCAGACAGCTCATCGCACTGTATGGGGTCCTGCCACTAGGTAAGGACCCCACAAGCTTGTTGGGACTGTTCTAGAGGCCAATGCACCACCTGCTGGCTTTGACCATGTCTCTCATTGTCTTCACCGTGCACTGAGGCTTAACTCTTCTTCCTGAGTTCAGAGTGAGGATAGTTCCATCGCGATGGTGTATCCCAGGGCACCTTGGAAAGCACTCCCGGGAAGGTCTTGTGGGCGATCATCTGGGGAGATTACAGCCAAAGCAAGCACCTGTAGTTAAAGTGCCTCGGATTAGGCAAAGGGCCCAGGTTCCGCTTGCCTCACACACAAGCTTCTGTGAGTTGGTCCTTAAGAGAGTCGGTCATGGGGTGTTGCATGAATCAAAGGGACATGGCTCTGCCAGGTGTCACTGCTGAGTGGGACTCAGTCACAGTTGTTCAGACATAGGAACCTGAGTTCTACGGTGTGTGCAGAGGTGTCAGAAAGGCAGGGCTCTCTGTGACAGAAAGATATGCTGCTGCTGCTGTTCACTGCTGTTTTTATTTTTTTTACTTTAATATGTGTATGGCCTGAGTTGATGGGGGGCAGGGGCAGGGACCCAGCTAGGCTGTTCTCCCACTACCACTCTGAAATAGAGATCACTTCTTTATTATTTAATTTGTTTTATTTTTCTATACTGGAGTCCCTGTGCACAGATTTGTGCACCATTGGGGTCCTTCAGCCTGGCCTGCGGCTCTCTGACATTCCCCAAGGGGTCCTGGATTGGAATTGTGAAAGGGTGCAGGCCAGGCTGAAGGACCCCACTATTGCACAATCAGGACTGGAGAGGGACCACTGGAGGGCTACAGGGAGTGTCCAGCCCATCTCACTCAGTCCCAATTGGCTGGACCCCAACAACCTACCGGTCAGGGTGTCTGACTCCTAGTAGTCAGTGTGTGTCATAGCTACTGGTCAAATGGTTGAACAGTTAAACGGTTGCTTAGGCTCTTATGTAGAGAGATATTTTTATTGATTTCTGATATGGAGAGAGGGGCAAGAGAGAGAGAGAAACATCAATGATGAGAGAGAATCATTGGTTGGCTGCCTCCTGCATACCCCCTACCAGAGATCGATCCTGCAACTCAGCATGTGCCCTGACTGGAATCAAACGGTGATACTCTAGGTCAACACTCAACCACTGAACCACATTGGCCAGGCAATTTGCTTTAAAATGAGATGAGAGAGGATTGAGCACTTAGAATATTGTTCTACTTTGACTTATATAAGAACTTAAACCTTTTGGTAAGAAATAGTACATCCCTCTTTTAACTGGATGTCAGAAGGAAGTAATAAATGGAATTTGGGGTTGACACAGATAAAATACAAATAATATAAACAAGTAGACAATACCTAGGATCAACACAGTAAGCACATAGTATCTGTGGATCCTTGTAAGTGAAATAAATACATTAGTACTCAGACGTCATCACAGTGTCATGGAAGGCACTGGAGCTAAGAGCCAGGAGCTGAGCTGACAGGCTTTTAAGGAAACTCCTAACGAAGGGGACGAGGGTGTGTTTGCATCCTCGGCTCCTGTGCAGGTGACGGACGTTGTCAGTGAGGAACTGATGCCCCTTCAGGCTGCTGACCTTGCCAGGCCCAAGGCTGGCCGACGTCTTTCTCGTGTGTGTGTGTGTGTGTGTGTGTGTGTGTGTGTGTGTGTGTACACACGCTTATGCATGTGTATGCAGTGCACAGCCAAGGCCAACAAAGAAATGTGTTCACGCCTGCCTTCCCAGTGCTTCATCTAAATTCCAGCATCCAAAATGGTGTCCAGTCACAAAAAGGAATGTGTTTGTTGGCCCGGACCTTTCAGCTCACCACTGCCAGGGCTGACCAACCCAGCCATTGGGCAGAGAGCACTGAGAACCCAGGTCAAGGCCACTGTCCATGCCTGACCTCCAGCACCAGCTCTGGTGGCCTCTGGATGGGGCTCCTGGGGCCAGGTCTGAGCCTTCAGTCTCCCACTCAGGACGCAACTGCCCCACACCCACCCTTTTTCCTGGAAATGTCACCTTCCCGGAACAGGAGGGGGAGAGGAAAGGAGGAGGGCGCCCCCGGAGCAGGAGCAGCCGGCACAGCCTGTGGAAGTTTGGAAATTTCACGGAAATTGAGTCGCTTCCCAGCAGGAGCGTCAGGTGGCCATGGCGGTGGACCTGCTTTTCCAGTCCGGCTGCCAGGAGCTCAGCGACAGGAAGCAGCAGAGCTGGCTCAGCATGTGGAATGCTGGCCCGTGTCTCCAATCCTCCGAAAACCGAAAAGCCTGGAAATTCGCTCTGTCTCTGTATAATTCTCTGTATTTTTTTAAAAATTGCCACTGAACGTTGATATGGGCAGGAGGAGCCATGGACCTTATGACAGGTGTGTCTCTGCCCCTCTCCCAGGCCGATCAGCAGTACCAAGGTCAGTAAAGCCCCAAGGTGCCTTCCCAGACCCCCCTCCTTCCCTCTCTGAGCGACCTTGGAGCCCACCCCTTCCTCCTAGAAAGTCCGTGTCCTGGAGTAAGTGCACACCTCCTCCTAGGGCTCACACACCTGCCCCCTCCCTCAGCACACTTCCACCACCTCTCCCAGGACTCCTCCCCCTCCCTCCCTCAGCACACTTCCACCACCTCTCCCAGGACTCCTCTTGCCCCCCCCTCAGCCAACACCCTGGGCTAACCTGCAACCCCAGCCACCTTCCAGGGCCCTGGCAGCTGGCATCCGTTTCCCTCCCCACCTCCTCACTGCCCTGCACGGCACCAGTCAGAATTATCTGCTGCTCCCCCAGTACCTGCCTGACTCCCACGCCAGGCCTGCGTCCCCTCACTCAGAATCTTCCCACCCATCCCCCCTTCACTGTGAGTCCCAGCTCTACCTGTGCTTCAGAGGCCAGCTAAGATGCCACCTCCTCTTGGAAGTCCGCCCGAGCCACCCCATCCAGCCACCCAGCCACCCCCAAGTTAAATGTTGTTTCTTCTCTGAACTTTCTGTGGCTCCCAGGGGTCTTAGCACCCTTTGCCTTCCATTCTAAAGCTGAGAAGTCATGTCTTCTCAGCTTTAATACATTTTTTTTACAGCAGTTTCTGACTCTTTTCACATTGGAACCCCACAGGCTGCCAGCTGGGACCAGGGCCCATGCAGCCCTCCATGCCCAGCTGCTGAGAAGACCCCACGAATGGGCGCTCTCTCCTGTGGTGGAAAGCAGGTCCCCACCCCTCACAGATAAAGCAGGCCTGCTTAATGTCATTTTAAAGAGAGCTTCTCAAGGCGACACACGAGTTTCTGTGGAGGATGTGCGGTAACCACAAAAACTGTCTCCAGTGAGCTGGTACATTCACAATACCTTCGCAATTACACAAAAAAAAAGAAAAATGGAACAGCACGATAATAATGATACATTTACGGCTGCTCAGAAAGTGCCCAGTGGTTGAGCAAAAGCAAACCACAGTGACAGCTGTCTGCATCACAGCCCTCCCCGGACACAGATCCACTCAATGTGGGAGTCCCTCTCAGTGCCCGGGCCCTCCCTTGGAGCTCAGGACGGAAGGGGTGGGGGTGGGGGTGATACTCAAGTCTGAGTGCTGTCTGGGCTCGCAGGAGATGGACAGTGTGACGAGAGCCTGAGGCACGGATGGACCTCTGAGTGACAGCACAGTAATTTGGCAGGTGGGAAACAGGCAGAAGAAAGAAGTCCAGCTCCAGCCACAGCATCCTTGGTCTCCTCAGAATCTCAAACGTCAGTCCTCCCTCCATCCCCACACCCCATCTCTCCCCACATCCTCTTCCCAAGCTTTCTAAGGACGCCATACTGCTGCCGACAAGCAGAGGAACCCCATCCCCATCCCCTGGGGGGGGAAAATGCCAGATGCAAGTTATTGCAGCAGAATGTTCCTTAACATTATGAGTTTGGGGGGAAGTAGGATGAGGGATGGAGGAAATACCATGTGTTGAATACCCACGGAGACCCTATGGCACCATCTCCACTACAAACTCACGGGTCTCAGACGCAGCGGAGGCGGAAATGCTGCGGTGCAGTCATCACAGTCACAAAAACCGGGATCGTGTGTGGGGCCGTGCCTGGAGGCAGCCTCGTCTGAGCCCCTCCGGCCTCCTGGCGGGATTCAGAGCTTGGGCCTCTGCCTCTTGCAGGTTCCGCGGAGGTGCACGAGAACGCACCTTTGGTGAAGTCGCTGCTGCTGGCCGGGCCTTCGGGGGTCGGGAAGAAAATGCTGGTCCACGCCATCTGCAGCGAGACGGGCGCCAACCTCTTCAACTTGTCAGCGGAGAACATTGCCGGGAAGTACCCGGGCAAAAATGGCCTGCAGATGATGATCCACGTGGTCCTCAAGGTACTCACCAGCTTCTCATTTCTCCGGCTCCCATTCTCCCTGCAGTTTCTCCCCTTAAACCGACTAGCTCGGGCCCTGGCAGGTCCTTTCCTCAGGTGGATGTGAACATCTCTCTCCAACGTCCCTACTGCCTCCTCTTGCACATTTCTTAGTGATCGCACCTGGCTGGACATCCAGCCATTAGCAACAGCGTCTTCCTTTGCATAAACACTCCACTGCGCCTCAGGTTGCCTCCTTGTGCCCAGGAACCCTCTCCGAAAAGCTCGCGCTTCCAGTTGGAAATTAATTAAACCCACAGTTTCTTTTTTCAGCCCACCTCCCTCCAGTAATGGCATCTACATTTGCATTTGGGGTCCTTTCTCACACGTCTGCGTTGCTAAGTCCAGTACCTTCTGAACGTCAGCTCCTCACACGGGTAGTAAGGGGATCCCGCAGGAAGCCAAGCCGACCACAATAATGCCCATGCTCAGTTACATCTTGGCCAGTGGGTAGGGAAGCCCGCTGAGCCACCCCCACCCAGCCACCCAGCACCCACTAGAACAGCGGTGGCCAACAGGTGGTCCACGGACCACTGTGGTCCATGAGGTCCGAAAGGCTGGCGACCACTGCATTAGAAGGTCCATGCACAGCCCAGGTCTGCGATCTTAGATAAGCTCTGCACCGCAGTGAGCTTCCATTTCATCATCCCGCAATGAATGAGCCACCCCAAATGGTAGGAGGTTCTCTGCCAGCCCTGAAAGCGATGATTCGCTGATATAGTTTGTCTGTAGATGATGGTGATGGGTAGATAGATAGAGAGATGATTGTTAGATAGAGTGATAGGTGATAAATGATAAGGAGATGATTTGGTAGATAGGTAGGTATATAAATTGATAAACAACATACATAAGACAATGATTACCAGGTTTTAAAGCCCTTTGATACTGAATACTTATATATAATATTGAAACTTCGAAGAATTTCATTTTTATTTGGTTAAATTGCTCAAGTTTAACTTTATGCTGTTCAGTGCCTTTCTAGTGGCGAGAAAAGGGCAGCTTTACTATATCGGTGCAGATGGTAGCATTGTACTTGGGGCTAGATGTTGGCGGTGTTCGAGGGGCCCTGAGGCAATGGTTATTGTCCACAGTGGCTCACAGGAGTAGGTCCTTCTCTCTGTCATCCCAGGGGCCACAGTGTGTAAGTGAGGGCAGTGGGGTTTCCTCCCTTGGCCACATGGACCCAACCCTGTGGCGAGGTAGTAGGACATTCCCAGCTCTTCTCCCTTCCTGTGCTGGTCCAGAAGGCATCCATGGAGAAATAATTTGAAGAGCTAGAAGGCAGGAGAAGAGGAAGGTGGGCAGGGAATAAAGAAAGATCATAGTTATTTAACAGAGTGCCTTGAACAAGGTAGGTGTTCCACATCTTTGTATTGTTATGTGAGGGGGTTCATCCTTATCCCCGTTTTACAGAGAGAGAAACGGGTTCTGAGAGGTGACACACCTTGTCCAAGGCGACCAAGGTCAAGTGGCCAAGCTGGGATTCAAATCTATGTCTTTCTTTATCTCCTGCACTATTTTTTATCAAGGTAAAATTTACATGCAGTAAAGTGCACAGATCTTAAGTATGCGTTTTAAGTATGAGCTTTGAAAAATATTATATATGCGGCTGTGTAACCATCATTTTCATGTGCTCTCTGGCCCCTTGGACAATTTCTTAAAATGTCCAAGTAATTTGCCAGTTTTCAGGGACTATTGGTCTCGTGATTTGTTAGAGTTCTTTAGATAGCCTGGATACAAATTCTTTGTTGGACATAACATATTGCAAATTTTCTCTGTGATTTGCTTTTTCGCTTTCTCACTTTTCTATTTGTTATTTGTCCTGTCAACTCTGAAAGAGGATGTTAAAGCTCCAACTAGGATTGTGGGATTCTCTGTCTCCCTGTGTCTGTCGGGTTTTGCCCTGTGAATGTGGTAGCCCTGTCATGAGAGGCACCACATTCAGAACTCTTCCATCTTCCTGATCGGTTATTTCATCCTTAGGAGCTGTCCCCTTTGTCTCTAGTAAGACTCCTTGTCTTGAAGTCTACCTGGTCTGATCCAAACAGAGCCTCCTCAGCTTCCCTGGCTCCCTTTCATTTTCAGTGTCATTATAGTGAAAGTGCATTTCTGATGGGTTCGGTTGTCTTGCTTTCTTATTCAGTCTAACAATATATCCCATTTAAAAGCATGTTTGCAGCATTTACATTAAATGCAGTTATTCATCTGGTTGGGTTAGGTCTACCATTTCGCTGTTTGTTCTCCATTTATTCCATTTCCCTTTTTTTTTCTTTCTTTCTTCCTTTTTCCTAACTTCTTTTGGGTAATGCAGTACTTTTTAGTATTTAATTTGAATTTCTCTTTTGTCTTTTTAGCAATGCCACTTTCTTTTTTTTTTTTTCAATTACAGTTTATATTTAATGTTATTTTGTGTTAGTTTCGGGTACACAGCACAGTGGTTAAACAATCATATACTTTAGCAATACCTCTTTCTTATTTTTTAGTTATTGTTCTATTTTATCCATTTTTAATTTAGCACAGTCTACAAAGGATGAATATTGTACTATCTATTTTACATAAAATGTCAAATCCTACAACAATATAATCCTATATGTCTTTACCATATGTTTTATATCTAGAAATGTTATAAACACTACCATAAGGTGTTACTATTTTTGCACTAGTCATTTGTCTTTTAAAGAATTCAAGAGGGAAAAATTAGTATTTTACCCTTAATATATTTCCCAGTACTCTATTCCTTTCTGTTGATACAACTTCCATTTGTTGTAATTTTCTTTGTGGCTGCAAAACTTCCTTTCATATTTATTTTAGTGCAGGTCTTCTGGAAAGTTAGTTTTCATTTTACTTTTCAAAATACCTTTATATTACCTCCATTGTTTGAAGGGTAGTTTTGCTAGATATAGAATTCTGGGCTGACCTATGTTTTCCTCAGCCCTTGAAAGTTGTCATTCCATGGTCTGAGGCATTTAAGTCGTTTTCCTAGGTTACAGTGTTGCTACATGAGCCCACAGTCTGCATCCAGAGCCTTCAAGTTTAACAAGTGCCTCATCCAGCCTCTCACTGAAGTGGGATTAAGCCTGTCTCCTCACACCCACTAGATGGCTCAGTGTTCCCGGTGTGGTTCTAGGACAGAGCCCATGGCATGATCACGATATCCTAATGCTCAGGAAATTGTTTCTGCTGCTGAGAGGTTTTTTTCCCTTGCTCTCCAATAAGGATTCATTTCTTAGAATCGTTGCAAACTGACATTGTGCAGACCACAAAATGCTATGTGTCAAGTTTTCAAATTGTGGAACGCCACACTTACCCACCGAGGTCACTCCACGTCAGAGTGCCTGGCACACACCTCATTAAGCTTCACCTCTGCTGTGTGTATAACTGATTAATGAAAGACCCAGAAGCCAGGTGTAGGAGTCATTCAATTACAAACCATGTGCCGTGAGGACACTGCCTCCCGGCATGAGTGACAGACCAGCTATCTGCACTGCGGAGAGGTATTTGCTTTTAATTAAGTGAAGAAAGCTGGTAAATCTCTGGCAGGTGCTGTGCATGCATTCCTGTGTCCCGTGAGCCATGGCCCGGGGGCTGAGGCTTGAGGGCAGCCGGCATGGTTCTGTGGCATCTGCTGGAGAAGGCGAAATAACAGAAGGCCTGGCGACTCCTCATGTCTTCTGGTAAAGAGCTCCTGTGACGGAATTAATCTCCGCAGAGGAGAGATGGCAGCATGAGGAAGCCATTCATAAGGTCACTTCGGGCTGGCGGCCTTGTTCAGCGCCAGCACCCTGCACACGTGAAAACACACTGGGAAGACCAGTCTCTGAGAGTTTCACAATCACAGGTTCAAATCTATTTTGTGTTCAGTGTTTCTGGAGGGCTCCTTTATTTCACATACAATAGCTTTAATGGATTAACAAGCTGGGTTCCTTTAAGAAATGTGGTTACTGTTATTAAATGTGGTTACATTCTCTCTTCTGCTGCTAAAGCTATCTGTGGAAAAGAATATATATCTCTTTAGTGGGGAAAATATTAGAAATATTGTCATCTAACTGGTTGAGAAGTGTGATGAATAATATTTAATAAGTATTTCATGTACAAAAGACAAGGCCATCCATCCCTCAACCAGCCTCGGCCTCTTTGGGTTTTCACAGCAGGAACTCGAGCAGGAAGTACTGACCTTGACCTCTGGCCAGGAGTCCAGCACACACTAAGGAGTTTTCACACACTTGCTTTTCATGGGACCAAACCCTTGATGGGGCAGGGATTAATGTTGCCATTTGCAAACAAGAAAACTAGCTCCTAGCGCTTAATTTGACCAAAAACTATGGTACAAAGGAACGTAGGGACTGGCAGCTGGACTTAAGCCCAGGTCTGTTCCCCCGCCAATCCCTGGGCCTCAGCTGCCTCTGGGCACTGAGGGCTCCCTGAGCCTGCCCTGGGCGCTGTGTCCCGGTAACAGTCCTGGGTTAGTGTCAGCCATGGGCATTTTAGTGCGAGAGGGAAGGAATTAGAAGCCATGCATCCTGTTGGCATGCTCCAGCAGGACCCCACTTCTTCCTGGGCCCCCTCGCCATCACTCTTCCCTTGCCCTCTCGGCCGCCCCTGCGATGGCCGGGGCAGACTAGTAGAACCCGGGGAAAGAGGCCAAGCAGGGACTTCTGATCCTGTGTTTTGGACCTGGGAGGTGTTCTCTCTGCCCAGTGGTTCCTGTGTCCTCCTCAGGAGGATGGGCTAAGGAGGCCCCCAAGCCAGTGTCAGATCCAGGCCTGGGGGTCTGGACTAAGGGAGGCTAGGGTGCTGCTCCTGCCTCGGTGCCACCCCACCCCCACCCCCCAGGCTCCTTGCTGGGCTCTCAGCCAGCACCCATGGCAGCATGCCAAGGGGTCTCGCCCAGATGTGCTGGTGTCAACCCTGGGCCAGGCGTTGGGCATGGAGACTTCTGCTCCAGGCTAATAACCCAAACAA